CCCTCTTTGGCGGGTTCTTCGCCCTTTCGGCATTGCGTTGCTACCTACTGAGTGCTTCGCTAACTCCTCGTGGCGTAGCGGAAAATCGATGATGAATCGATATTTAATAGAGTGAAGTTAATATCCTCTAGCGGAGGGCGCTGCACTGATTGTGATTATATTAAAACTACACACAACCACCTGAGCGAGCGCTTTTTCCATGAGACTAAGGCGTGCCCAGGACTGGCTCCCGCGCCGCCCATAGCATAAGCCCAGTTCATCATCCTTTTAAGTCGGTTATTAGAAAAGTTGCGTTGGCCAAGGGCGCCGTGGCCGGGCAGCTGAGACGGGCCGGGCCAAGGTTTTCGGAAATGGGTGCGTCGAGCTTATCCGCGCCACTCTCCACCCACTCGGTGCCACGCCGCGCCTCGCCGCCCCGGGCCCTGACTAATCGCGCGTGTATCATCGCCGGGATGTGTGCGCAACGCGGCGCAATCGTCCAGTGAACACGGCTCATTTGCCTCCCCTGTATGTTGCAGCTGCCCGCCGAGGACCTTCCTGCCCGCACTATGCCGCATCTTCCTGGACGAGTGCGCGCCGGACAACGTCCTGGAGGTGACGGCGCGCGCCATCACGTACTACCTGGACGTGTCGGCCGAGTGCACGCGCCGCATCATCGCCATGGAGGGCGCCGTCAAGGCCATCTGCAACCGCCTGGTGGTGGCCGAGCTGGCCTCGCGCACCAGCAAGGACCTGGCGGAGCAGTGCATCAAGGTGCTGGAGCTCATCTGCACGCGCGAGGCCGGCGCCGTGTTCGAGGCGGGCGGGCTGCGCTGCGTGCTCTCGTTCATCCGCGAGCACGGCGGCCGCGTGCACAAGGACACGCTGCACTCCAGCATGGCCGTGGTGTCGCGGCTGTGCACCAAGATGGAGCCGCTGGACGCGACGCTGCCGTCGTGCGTCGAGTCGCTGTCCACGCTGCTCAAGCACGAGGACCAGCACGTGAGCGACGGCGCGCTCCGCTGCTTCGCGTCGCTGGCGGACCGCTTCACGAGGCGCAGCGTGGACCCCGCGCCGCTGGCTGAGCACGGCCTCGCCCAGGAGCTGCTGACCAAGCTCTCGGCCGCGGCCTCGGGCTGCGCGGCCACCACGGCCGCCGGCCACGGCCACGGCCCCAGCGGCCCGGCCGCGGGCCTCAACGCGTCCAACGCGGCGCCCGAGAACAAGTCTTCGGCCTCGGTGTCCACCATCATCAGCCTGCTGTCGACGCTCTGCCGCGGCTCGCCCAGCATCACGCACGACCTGCTGCGCGCGCCGCTCCCGGACGCCATCGAGAAGGCCCTGAAGGGCGACGAGCGCTGCTCGCTCGACTCGATGCGCCTCGTGGACCTGCTGCTCGTGCTGCTCTTCGAAGGCCGGCGGGCGCTCAACAGGGTGGGCTCGGCGGCACCCGCGCCCGCGACCGGAGGTCCCTCGAGCTCCGGGCAGCTGCTGCCCCGGCTGCGCCGCCTGGAGGGCGCCGGCGAGAAGACGCACCGCCAGCTCATCGACTGCATCCGCAGCAAGGACACGGACGCCCTGGTCGACTCCATCGACTCTGGCGGCATCGAGGTCAACTTCATGGACGACGTCGGTCAGACACTGCTAAACTGGGCGTCCGCGTTCGGGACGCAGGAGATGGTCGAGTTCCTCTGTGATCGTGGGGCAGACGTGAACAAAGGTGCGTTGCGCTGACAGATGGCCTGCTTCTACGATTTGTATAATTCATTTTGAACTAAATTTCTATGAATGTTCTGTGTTTCAGGTCAGCGTTCGTCCTCTCTACATTACGCAGCCTGTTTCGGAAGGCCGGCGATCGCGAAAGTTCTCCTGAAGCATGGTGCGAACCCCGACCTGAGGGACGAGGATGGCAAGACTCCCCTCGACAAGGCCCGGGAGCGGATAGACGAGGGCCACCGGGAGGTGGCGGCCATCCTCCAGTCCCCCGCCGAGTGGATGATCCCGACCGAGAAGCGTTCCGACTCGACGGAGAGTGAAGACAATGGAGAACCTCGGGGCGATCCAGAAATGGCACCTCTTTATTTACGGAGACTTTTGCCTGTGTTCTGCCACACATTTCAGTCAACCATGCTCGCTTCGGTTCGGTAAGTAAATGTCAAGATATTGCACTATCGTGTTTGATATCCCTCAGGTTTGGCCCTAACCCTAACCGGTTTCTTTTTCTTGACTTTTAGGAAAGCTAGTTTAAGCCTAATCAAGAAAATGATACATTATATTCAACATGATCTCTTGATGGAAACCTGCAGCCTTGAATCCCCAACTTATAACTTTGGATCTACGCTCACAGAAGTGATTGCTACTGTTCTAGACAATGAGGTGGGTAAAGTAAAATGTACTTTTGCATGATTTTTCATATTTTTCAAGGCATTATGCTTTCAGGTTACAACTATCTTTCAACTAATGTTTCAACATTTTGCCCTTAATTATATTTTACCAGATCACATTCAAATTTTAAAGCACTGACTTGCGATAGGCACATACTTTCTTAAAATCACAATCACTCTTAAACCCTTTAAAATGAGTTTTTAATATCACTGAAAAGGTTGGGGTACTAGGCGCTTCTTATCTATAATGGGATGCATTAGCTGTAACCTATTGCAACGTTTATTATAGCTACATTGGTGAATGACAATCCCTGGACCATTGAGCCATTCCCTTTCTATTTCCTTCATTGTGTGACAATCTTTTTTGAATTGCATTTGAATCCATATTTGTCCACCTCATTGCAATGTATAATTGTGTATCTTTCCCTGTTAGAAATATCTTAGTTAATAAGGCTCTGGGGTTTCAGATGTCCTATTGGTGGCCCTCTAATTCTTCATTGGGTATCAAAGCTTTCAATTGGGTTTCAAAGGTCAGTTGCTGTGGGATGTTGGGCAGACCAGCCTGATAGTGTGGGTTTATGTGTGTTAAAAATATTGCATGACTTTTCTGTTTTTTGTTTTAATTTTAGTCTCTTTATGCTGCACACACTTCTCAATTAACAACGTAGTTACCAGGTGTCTGGTACCTTTACTACCAAAGTGGACTTAAAACTTGGCCCAATTTAGCTCATGTGTCTCAAGACTTTTAGTACAGAACATGGCATGTGTGGTGTTTTACTTTTCTCAGATTTATAACACTGCATTTTCTTGATATTTCCGCATAACACATAAGAAATCAAATTAACTTTCAAAAGTTGTTATTTTTCTTTACACTTTACTTGACTTTACATGCTCCAGAAGCACAATGGACAGATCTCTCTCTAATATTCTACTGCACTTTCCCCCCCTTTCCCCCCAAATTGACGCTTTTATTAACATTATTTCATATGTGGTTTCACAACTGTATCAGGTGCCACAAACTGACCTAAATTTATGTTGTACACTGTAAAAGCTACATGGGTGTTTATGGTGTAAGCGGGCTCTCAAACGCCTTAAACTTACCCATTTTTGCCTCTGCTTGTCAAAGTCTTTCATTACTGTTTTAATATTGTTAGAGTACTACTTCTTTTCTTTGCAGGAAGATGAAGATGGCCATTTAGTAGTTCTCCAGATTATTCAAGACCTGATGGAAAAAGCTCAAGATGCCTTCCTTGATCACTTTGCTCGTCTAGGTGTGTTCTCAAAAGTTCTTGCTTTGGTGGGGCCAAGAGATGGTCAGGACCCAATTGTTACTGCTGTTAAAGAAGAAGTGAGTATCTCGAGCCTGCTTGAAGTTAAGTTGTCAGTTATCTCTTTGTGACATCAAATATTATTCAATAATTTCATTCCAGGAGGAATCAGAAGTCGATACAGCTCAAGAAGATGCCCGCGAAATATTGGCTGGCAAAGCATATCATTGGCGAGACTGGTGCTTTTGCCGTGGCCGGGACTGCCTTTACATTTGGTCCGATGCTGCAGCATTAGAACTCTCCAATGGCAGTAATGGATGGTTCCGCTTTATCCTAGATGGAAAATTAGCTACGATGTATAGCAGTGGCAGTCCTGAAGCAGGGACTGATAGCACTGGTAAGTTTTGTGAAATTCTAATCTGTCTTAAGCAGCTGTTACCGTATCAACTGATAACCTGCTGTTGTTGGATGAAGTTATGAAAAAAATGATTCTTGGTAGATTTTAGTTAAAGTAGCAGTCTGGGCTAGCATTGCTAGCAAGCTCTAACAAAGTTTGATACCTACTACTTGTTACGTAATGACTCCATTGCGCAATAGAAAAGAGGTGATAGTATCCCTATTTTATTATCCCTTTCACAAACATCACCCTAGTCCCTCATTTCATTAATTACTGATCTATCACCTTATGAAATCTGATTGGTACTCTATTTTTCTTGCTTCCTTTTGGCTCTTCAGATGGTGAGTGGATAGTCAGATGTAGACTAGCTTCACCACTAGTTGAAAGCACACTTAAATGATCTTTGTGAATGTTCAGTTTTTAGATGCACCACAGGGCCCCAGCAATCCAATTTCCCCCGCATGAAAGTAGCAGAAATTATGTTAATTTAAGTCTTGTGTAATGGGTGTCTGCACATTCTTAGTTTCACATAAAATTAAGAAGTTATTGTTGCACAAAATTGTTGCCTGTTCTAACGTGGTATGTCCTCTGTGTTCTTAGGGAAAGGCAAAAATACAGAAACACTGACTGCTGAAGGTAAGACATGATGTGATGCTTTTGGCTGCAAAACATTCCTAACCTGTAAATTCTAATACTAAATTTAAAAACTATTAATCCTTCTGATTCTACCAAGCAAACAATTGACATTTGTACTAACATAATTTGGTTTGTGATTGTATCAGTTTCTTGGTCTTGCTTTCTTAAATATTGATATATGTAGTGCTTTTGTGTGATATTAATCTCTTCAAAGCAATTAGCATCATTCTGGTAACCTTTGCAGTCAGTGATACTTTGTGCATGACAACCTTGATTGAAAGAAAATGAAAATATTGATGAAGTTTTGTGTTGGAACCAAAGGTTTTGCCCCTCAGCAAGGAATGTGCTCTGGAGTTGACCTTATTTATGGCAGAATTTAATGCTTACACAAGAAGCTTCAAGGTCATACATGCTTAGTAGCTGCTGAGCATTGTGACTGTTTCTTCATTTCTTTTGTCCTTTGTTTGGCGTACCTTTTATAGTTCTGTATGGGGGAAAGGAAAACATACAATATGGCTGTGTATCATTTTAAACTTCTATCCCTGCATATCTTTATTTTATTTTTTTCAGAAAATCGTGGCGAGTTTTTGGAGAAACTGCAGAGAGCTAGGTCACAGGTGAAGCCTAATGCTCCAAGTCAGCCAATTCTTTCAAGACCAAGCACGCACAGACTTATTGTGGGAAATTGGCAACTCTCTGCTCGTAGAGATGGAGAACTTCATATTCATAATTCAGATGGACAGCAGGTCTGTGAATTTTTTTTATATAGTTGGATTTAAACTCCGGTTGTCCTCATCTTATTTATGCGTATATGTTTTGTTATTTAATCTTCAGCAAGCAACAATTCTTCGGGAAGATTTGCCTGGGTTCATCTTTGAATCCAATCGAGGTACTAAACACTCATTCACAGCTGAGACCTCACTTGGACCAGAATTTGCAGCTGGCTGGACTGGCAAAAAGGGCAAACGCTTACGCTCGAAAATAGAAGCAATTAAGCAAAAAGTATGTACTGTGAGATGTTTAGTTCTGTCAAATAAGCTATTTTATAAATTTTACTTGACATCACATTTATTTAAATTAACTCCTCAGGTCAAGGTTCAAGCTCAGGAAATTTATGATAAATACTTCAAAGCTGCGCAGGCGCAGCCCAGAGGTGTTGTAGCAAAATTAGGAAATATAGTTGCTCAGATCGAACGAGCATGCCAAAAGCAGCACATGAGTGGCCGAGAGAATGCGTCTGCGTGGCGAGAAATGTTGGTGGGTGCTTTGGACGAACTTTCATTGCTTCTCCAAGAAGATGGCGTTGTATCCGCTTATGAACTTCACAGTTCTGGACTAGTACAAGCCCTCCTAGCTCTGCTGTCTACTTCATGTTGGGATGAGGGACTTAATCTCAAAAAAAGCGACAAATTACTTCGTCAACGTGAAAAAGTCTTCCGTTTGTGCTTTAAGGTAAGAAGTTAGCCGATGAAACTTTTGAAAGTCAGTTCTAGTCAATGAATTGAGATTTGATACTATGTTTTTGTTACATTTCAGGATAAAAAGGGAGAAAGTGGCAACAACTCTGCTGTGATAATGGTACAGAAGTTAATTTCTGTATTAGAGTCAATTGAACGACTTCCAGTTTACTTATATGATACTCCTGGTTCAGGGTATGGTCTGCAGGTAAGAATTCCTATCCACACTGTAATATTATTCGCTTTCTGTGAAAATATCATACATGGTTTGCAATGTTATGTTTTTCTCATTTTAGATTCTTACAAAGAGACTACGCTTCCGCCTTGAAAAAGCCCCAGGTGAAAGCTGCCTTATTGATCGGACTGGGAGGAGTTTAAAAATGGAGCCTCTGAGCTCTGTCGCACAACTAGAACGTTACCTTCTTAAAATGGTTGCCAAGCAGTGGTATGATCATGAGAGATCTACCTTTGCATTTGTGCGCAGGCTAAAAGAAACTAATAAAATTTCATTTCTTCATGCTTATGATTTTGATGAAAATGGAGTAATTTACTGGATTGGAACAAATGCTAAGTCAGCTTCAGAGTGGGTCAATCCTGGGCAATATGGCCTGGTTACTGTTACATCCTCTGATGGACGCAACCTTCCCTATGGACGCCTAGAAGATATTCTGAGCCGTGAGCCATCTGCACTGAACTGCCATACTAATGATGACAAGCGTGCGTGGTTCTCTATAGACCTTGGTCTCTGGGTTCTTCCCAACTGTTACACTCTTCGACATGCAAGAGGGTATGGGCGTTCTGCTCTTCGCAACTGGCTCTTCCAGGTTTCAAAGGATGGCATAACTTGGACAACACTTTTGGCTCACATTGATGATTGCTCTTTAAATGAGCCAGGTAGTACAGCATCATGGCCACTTGAATGTCCTGCTGATGAAACCCAAGGCTGGAGACATATTCGAATTCAACAAACAGGCAAAAATGCATCTGGTCAAACTCATTACCTAAGCCTCTCAGGCTTTGAAATTTATGGAGTAGTCACTGGAGTCTGTGAAGACCTTGGCAAAGCAGCCAAAGAGGCAGAAGCCAACCTCCGGAAACAAAGGCGTCTCCTTAAAACTCAAGTGGTTAAACATTTAGTTGCTGGAGCTAGGGTTGTTAGGGGCCTTGATTGGAAGTGGAGGGATCAAGATGGTAATCCCCCTGGAGAAGGAACAGTTACTGGAGAACTCCATAATGGATGGATTGATGTCACATGGGACCAAGGAGGTTCTAACTCTTATCGGATGGGTGCTGAAGGAAAGTACGATCTAAAGCTTGTCAATTCTGAGATCAATGACAATACTTCACCTCTTCCAGCGACAAGCTCGACTTGTGGCTTGACTCAGACCACTCTTACTACCTTTGTCAAACCAACCAATAGCTCCTCACCTAAGAGTGCTAAAAACTCCTCAGATTCCGGGAAGGTATTGACTATGACCAGCCGGAAATCAAGTTCCACACCAAGTCTTCCAGATGCAACTGAGAACACTAAACCCTCAGTTGCCAGCACTGACCAAGCTGCATCAGCTGATAATCTTGCAGCAAAACAAGCTGCTGAAGCTATTGCTGAAACTGTTCTGAATGTTGCCAGACAAGAGGCCATGGTAGCAGTTAACACAGAAAATGAAAATAATGTGAATATGTCTGCTGCTGCAAATGAGCTGTCAGTTGTTGTTCATGCTTTACGAGACACAGGCTTGGATATATCAACCGCTAATGATCTTGCTACTATTGTCGAAACCTTGGCATTAGAGGAAACCAGTCGTCAGAATTTGGAAAACAGTAATGCCCTTAAAGAACTGAATAAGCAGCTTCGGCGACAGGCAAGCTGTAGTAGTTGCGGTGATGACGTACCTTCTCGGTCTCCCGCTTCACCAGCTCTTCCTCTAGATGCATCACAAGCTAAAACTAATTTAATGAATAAGCTGTCAGCAAGAGCTAACAAGGTAAGGTGGTATTATGACTAACTGTATATTTTGATTGATTGTTTTAACACCAAGAGACCAAGTGTATGAATCCTTTTTCTTACTCTTTACCCCAGCATCAAATGGCATCATCTGCTAACTCGGCTGCAGTCGCGGCTGCAGCGGCTGCGGCTGCTGCAGCTGCACTGGATGATCACTCCTTGCTCTCTGCCGAAGCTGTGGAAGTGTTGGACAAAATGAGGGAAGGTAGTGATCTTCTCCGCAACAACACCAACAGCTTCTTGTCTGGTGAACTCCTGCCCTCTGCATTATTGGGAGCGTCCCCATCTGCTGCAGCTTCCATTGGTCTAATGGCTTCACAGCTCCCTCAGTCAGTCAGGATAAACATGCCTGGAGCAGACAATGAAGCTGGCGCAGAGAAACCTGGGCGCCACAAGCGAGGTGCTGCTCCTTCTTCCACTGCGGATGGCAAGAAGGACCCGAAAGATGAGGGCTCGAGTAAGGACAAAGACAAAGACATGGCTTCGAGTCGTAACACTCAGAACACGTGTGCCAACCCCATGAGTGTGAGTGTGCCTAATCTAACATGTGCCGCACATACTCAATCAACCGAGCCGGTCAA